AAGGAAGCGTCTGGTGCCCAAACGCCTCTCAGCTGAGGGAACAGACACTGGCCTGCACCCTTATGAGTGCAACGCGCAGTTAATCCAAACCGTGATGGCCCCGACAAGACTTGGCAACAAGAAGCGGAGCTTATCCGGCTTGGGGCTCAGTCAGGCAAGGCGTTTCCTGATCGAGGTGGAGGCGTCTCATCAAACGGGAGACCGCCTGCTCTTGGTTGGAGCGGGTCGAGGGCACGTCACCAGGGCCAACGCAAGATGTTTCCATCTTCCCGTTACGGCCCTGGCTGATGGAATACACAGCGCACGAGAGGCAAATGAGGTGGCTGCCGAAACGCTCGGCCGTGTGGTCGAAATCGTTCAGCAGCTGCACTTCTGGGTCATCCTCGTCCTCCCCCCGCTCCACGATGCCGACGGCGGCGACCCCCCCCCTCCCCCTGGGCCGCGGCGTCCGTGCGCCTGGCCTTTGGTCCAGCACGAGCTGGGACTCCTCCTACAGCCTGCACTGCGACTGCGGCAGCCTCGGAAGGGGGTCGGTACTCCTCGGGCGTACAGTGGAATGACCTGCGCGCGGCCGCGCGCTTTCTGGGGGTCGGGTTGCACTGTCTGGCCCGCAGAGCCCTCAGGGAGGAACCTTTCCGAGCCTGGTGGTTGCATGATTGGCATCTGAACTTAGCCACCCATTCACAAAGCAGGAATTCATGCGATTCATTGGCTAGGACAGGCGCGGGAGGGGGAGCTCTCTGCACCAAAAGGAGTGGCATCCTTCGGCTGGAGTTCGACAGCCCGCCTCGCAACTGACCGTACCATTCGCGAGAAAGCTTTAGAGTCCTTACGCGCCTGCTGGAGCCTGCTTCGATAGTTCTCCCCTGGCGCTTTGGCGACAGCAGTCGACCTCGCTTCTTTCTTGGCGACATGGTCCGCCCATTAGCTGCCAACGAAATCTCAAACATTGGTTGAGCTGTCAGCTAAAACCTGCTTGTCGGAGCGATGCGCTGGGGCCCGAGTACACTGCGGCACTGACGCAAGCCCGTGGCCTTTGAGCAAGGAGTGCAAGGATCTCCAGACTGAAGAGTCCGCGAGTGAGCCGACTCGTTACGCGTGTCTCACTTTTCGCCAGACTGCATTAAAGATAGGTGATCAGAAATAATCGTGACATCTGCGCCTGCATGCTTCACTGCCATCCGAGCTGCATACTATTCAGCACGTGGCACAGTCTGAATCGGGCCAGGCACTCCCCAATATACAGCGCGCAAAGTTCTGCTTGAGGGGTCTAGGTCAACTACCGCCCAGCCACATCTGGTTTAACCTGGGTGAGAGGAAGCTAGCCCAGATCCGTCAGTGTAGACCCGGGACCCCCACTCCCCACGCCAGTCCCCCCACCCATAAATGGCAAGGCAGCGTAGCAGGAGGGGTTTCGGGACAGGGCGGAGCTGGCGGCAGCCCGTGGCTCTTGTAAAACAACTTCCAGACCTTCGAGAGTTGGTCCGGGCGCCGCCTGAGACATGGCCTGTCGGTGCTCCAAGGCGCCATCAGGGGGCTTCTCCTCGTCGGGCACGTTGAGAGCCTCAGGGCACCCAAACCGCTGATGTCCTACACATAAAGCAGGGAGAGGGTCGGCCCTTCGGTCTATATAGTGACAAGCGCACAGGCGTCCACGCTCCAGCGGCCCAAAGCGTCCGAAGTGCCCCCTCCTGCAAGCAGTTTCTACCTTCAAAGCTGAGTTGCGCATGGCTCGCAGCCAGCGCGACTCTTGAACTCCGTTAGGGAAATGCGCTAGTATGCTGGCTTCTTGCCAGCGACGCATGCCTGCTTCGAGCAACTGCTTGACGTCTGCTGAACGCACATTCTTGAGATGTATTGCCTTACCTAGGTCAGTTATCAAGACCGTAGGAGCAGACATGGACCATCCAACTCGGAGCAAAGACAGCTACGCGGACGAAATCGGACCTCGCGCCAAACGCCACGAAGCGCAGTACTCCATGCGCTCCTTCATTTTGCTCCAGGCGGCATGCAATCGAGGAAGACTGACGCGGCCATACCAGACGAACGACGCAAAACGAATGACTATGCTAGCGGTGGCGTCGCACATGGGATCGAAGCTGGGATCCGACTGGGTGGCAAGGAACAGGTTAAGGCAGGACCTGGTTTAGCTCCCACAGGACTGCCTGCAAACGTGCGAAGCTCTCGTATGCCAACGTCGGATATACCCGAGTCCCGCTCCACGGCCCGCCGCTGGCAGGAGTCCCGTTCGCCAGAGGGGGCGCGCAGCTTCGCCAGCTGCATGCTTCAAACCTTGCAACTTGCGTCTCTTCGCCTGATTGATTATTCTAGTCTTTCTTCGTATTATAAGGGAAGTGATGGGGGGGATAGGGGGTCCCAGGATTCAAAATCAGCGGGGCGACTGGGAGCTTCCACCCCGTGATGCGTCCAGATGCTCTCCCACCCTCTCATGGCTCGATCGTCCTATTGGCTTGGTTGGTCCTCCGTCTTAGTGAGAATAGTGGCAGAGCAAACCTCCTGCATCGCACGGCCTCCAGCGTGCCTGTATGGCAAGCGCGCGCTTCCCTTAAAAGAGGCAGCTGCGCACTTCTTCCACGCTTCAGCCGCATTGTTTGCCTGCTGTTCAGCCTGGGTATCTGCAGTGCTGATGGTCAGCTCAACTCATCAACACCTGGCATGACTACAGCGTCAAGACGTGAGGAAACAATATCTTCACCGAACATGGGAGTAGCTGCGCCTACTTAGCCTGGCGGGTCTCCGTCAGTAATTTGGCAGCCTTCGAGCGCAGAGCATCCGACTCCATGCCCTGCCCAGCCTGATGCTGCAAAGGTGTGGCAATGTTGACGAGCGCTTCTCTTGGGCGTCGCAGGTGGCGAGCCCGCCTAGCTGCGGCGGCCCGAGCCTTCTCGGTAGGGCTAGCATAGGTGCGCTGCATCGGTCGATTCCATTGAACCTTCGCGCGGACAAATTTTACTGGGCCAGCCCGACCCAGATAGGATATGACATCGTCTCCCACGATGTCATGTCTGCCCAACAGCTCAAGCTCGAGTTGCGGCGCAACAGCATCCCAAGCAATCTGGAGCGTAGAATTGTCCTTCGCCGCCCCCACCAGGGCCTCTACCCCCTCTCGCCGGCGAGGATATCTAGGGCAGCCAACCTTTGGCGCCCCAGGGGCAGAGCGTGGGCCTCGCAGCTCGCGCGCCTGGATGGGCAAGTCCCTGCCCACCGCGCCACATTCCTGCACCTCGGCCTGACCCGTTCGGGCCATCATATTTTGGGAAACCACAAAAATAGTCAAGCCTGCTCCCTGGGATTGCCTGTCGACGCGTGGTCGCGGCGGTCGACTTGATGACTCCCCCAAGGGCCTGGGTCCAATCCGCGTCTGCTAGGTCCTTGACCTCCATGTTAACATCTCTGCCGACTGTCCAATCATGGCCTGCGTGATGATACATAAGTGAAACCTCCAGGCATCCCCTTTGTGCACGTGGCCTGCAACAGCTCGGCCATCGGCAAGACTGGGAGCTGACAGAAGGGGAGGGTGCGCGATCTGTATCCGCGCGGGAGCGAGAATCGCCAATCCACCCTGCGCGCCTCCTCCCTTGCCCGAGGGCTTCGCCGCTGACCGCACACCTTTCCCTCAAGCCTGTCGGCTGGCACATGATGTTGCTTCACTGCCACGGCTAATTGTGTGCACTCATGCAAGAAATTTGTCATCTGCTTCTCTCCGGCAGCGTTCAGCGCGCAAGGTACGCCCTTGGCTCCTCCAGCATTGCATTGGCCAACCTCCGCTCCGAGGCTTTGCTCTCCTGGCGCGGCAGGGGCAGCGACCGCCCTCCTGGCGGAGGCCTTGCGAGTGCGGCTGCCCTTGGGCGCGGCACTCGCGACTGCTCCGCTGGATGGACAGCCGGGCGTCGTCGCAGCGGGGGCATCGACCACCCTCCTCACGGAGGCCCCGCGAGTTCGGATGCCCGTGGGCGCGGCGCTCCCAACTGCTCCATTCTCCGAGCGGCAGTTCGGCGACAAGGGAGGCTCGGCGCCGCTTGCGCCTTTGGCCTGGAACAGGTTGGCGTCCAAGCTGCCAGCCACCGTGCCCGCTGTAGATGCCGTCGCCGAAGTGCAGCGCGCGAGACACAGCGTCGCCAGCATCGCCATCCTCGACGTGAAAGCCGCCTGCCTTGTAGTGCATGTGTGGGATGCGCGAAAGCCTCCCCCATTATCCCTCAACAGGGGCCTGCGCGGATCGCCATCGTGCTGGTGAGGGGGCCTATAGTCCCACGTCCATCCGCATCGTCGGGCAGCTTGGCTGAAGACTAAGTCCAGCGTTGCCCTCTAATGATGTCTCCATTTGCCAGCTCCCTCGACCATCTTGCGCACCTGCCCGCGGACGTCGCCCTCGTCCTCGGGTGCTGGCATGCCTGGCGCCTTGAGGAAGTATATCTATATATACACATATGAATCGCGCATGTCATCGATATCATCTTCATCAACATCGTGGAATTCTGGAGCAGCTTCGTCTTCTCTGACATCGCCAGGTGGTTATGCTGACTGATTGGCCTCCCCACTTTTGGCCTCCCCTGCGGGCCTTCGCTGCTGCTCCTCAAAGGCTCGCACCTCATTGAGGAGGCAGGACGAACCCCAGAGATATACTGACCTGGGTTTCTATAATGTTCCGGGATTATTGGCCAGGGTTCATGATGTCCCCCCCCCCGGGACATTATGAACCTGGGTTTTAATGTTCTTGGACGTAATGACTGGGGTTTATGCAATGCTCCCAGTGGGGCATTATAAACCTTGGCTTATAATGTTCACGGAATATCGACCCTAAGAAGATATTCACGTCTGCTCATCATGTTGTGGGAAAATTGACTGGGGTTAATGATGTTCTGGGCATAATGAACCTAGGTTCATTATTTTGGAATGATAATAATGGGGGCTGAGGGGCGTCGCCTGAGCCAGAGGCGGATTTTCTGACTCCGGATTCATGATTCCGGAATGATGATACTTATCTCGGGGGTGGACAGACCTCCTACCCTGACACGTCGATTAGCGAATTGGCCGTTTTCAGTTCGCGAGAGGGCGTCGCGGCCGTCATTTTTGCGGGTCCAGGTCCGTCAGTTTCGGTCCCAGGCTGTTTTCTTAAAGGGAGGTTTACTAAAGGTTTGTCCACCGCCGATTATCATTTCCCCCCAACCCCGCGTCTCCAAGCTGGTATTCACTATGTTAGAAAATTGACCCTAGTCCGTTATATCTAGAACATCATAAACTTGGGTTCATACTGTTCTGGGAATCATGAACTCAGGTTTATTATTTCAGAATGATAATGATTCGGCGGAGGGGGGGCGCCTGAGAAGAAGTTTGGACTGGGATCCACCCTGATTCATTATGTCGGAACATCGGAGTCAGATGCATCCGGAATGGAAATGATCCGGCGAGGGGGGGGAACACCGATTCATCCACAGGACAATAATCCAATTGGAGTATCATCTGCACATACTGAACCTCGGTTTATCATTCCTAGACAGTAAACCACGGTCGACGAGGATTTCGGGGCCACCCTCTGAGAATGTCCTCAATGTTGTCCGCCATCTGTCCACTGCCGCCCAAGAGTGAGAGAGGAGGAGGAGGGGGGAGGAGGGAGGAGGGAGGAGGGAGGAGGAAGGAGGGAGGAGGGAGGCGGGAAGAAGGAGTGAGGAGTGAGGAGGGAGGAGGGAGTAGGGGGGAGGGAGGAGGGAGGAGGGACGGGGAGGAGGAGGAGGAGGAGGAGGAGGAGATGGAGGATGATGAGGAGGAAGACGAGGAGGAGGCGGACGAGGAAGAGGATGATGATGATGAGGAGGTGGAGGAGAAGGAGGGAGAAATATGAGGCGGAGGAGTAGGAGGATGAGGAACGATATTAAAAGCATTCAGAGACACGAATATTTCGAATACTTAGTACGATTAATCATAATCATCAGACTACTAATGAACAGGATAATCATGCTAACATGAGACGCACTTGTAATACCACTAAGAAGATGAAGCCGAATACTACTAATAGTACTGCTACCACTACTAATACGACGAATAAGACGAACACTCGGAACACGAACACGACTACTACAAGCAACACTGCGAAGACGAATGCCACCACTAATACTACGGATATTGTGAAACATGGTACGGCGACACATAAGAATACTAGTAACAATAATGCGACCAATCATACCATTACGACTCATAATACGGAATAATACGATTACGAATGATAACATATCGGAGACTCATAAGACGACGGATCATATCAATAACAATACGGATACGAATAACACGACTACGACGACTAGGACGACGATACGTACGCCTACGAATAATAATATTATTAAGCGTACACATATGAACTGATACTCCTGATGCTCACGCTAAGAATCATAGGACTACGACAAGCAATACTACTGTTACTGAGACGAGGAGGAGGAGGGTGAGGAGGAAGAGGAGGAGGGGGAGGAGGAGGAGGAGGCACACTGATACTAATAGTCGGCACATAAGTGTACGACATATAATGCAAACATTAAGAAGGTGGCGAACCATAATATTTCGATCAATAAGAATAACAATACTGCCACCACGATTAATACTATTATTAGTAGAACGAATGGGATGATGCTGACGAGGAGACGGAAGGGGAGGCGGAGGCGGAGAAGGCGGGGGAGGCGGAGGAGGCGGAGGAGGAGGAGGAGGAGGCGGATGATGAGGAGGAGGACAAGAAGGAGGTGGGGGAGGAGGAGGAGGAGGAGGAGCAGGAGGCGGAGAAGGGGAGGAGAAGGACAAGGGGAGGAGGAGGCGGAAGAGGGGGAGATGAGGGAGGAGGAGGAGGAGGATGATGATGATGAGGAGGAGGAGGAGGAGGAGGAGGAGGAGGAGGAGGAGGAGGGAGGAGGAGGAGGAGGAGGAGAGGAGGAGGAGGGAGGAGGGGGGAGGGAGGAAGGAGGAGGCAGGAGGGAGGAAGGAGGGAGGGAGGAGGGAGGGAGGGAGGGAGGGAGGGAGGGCGGAGGCGGAGGCGGAGGCGGAGGCGGAGGAGGAGGAGGAGGAGGAGAAGGAGGAGGAGGAGTAGGAGGAGGAGGAGGAGGAGGAGGAGGAGGGATGCTAGCGTGCAGCGGAGCGTGGGCTGGGGCTCGCCCGCGATAGCCCAGGCTACTGGATGCTTCCTCTGACGGACGTCAGCATCGGCAACACGGTGATCGATTGCTCTCAGGGCTGCGGCGCCGTGGTCGACACTGGCACTTCCTTGCTGGCGATGCCTGATTCCGCGCAGGCCCGCCTGGAGAGGGCGGTCGCCCACCTCAAGGGGGAGTGCGGGGACCTCTCGAAATGGCCCGACTTCCGCTTCAAGCTCAGCGGGAGGCCATTCTCTCTGCCGGCGGACAGCTACGTTGGCGCCGTCGAAGGCGACGTGTCCGAGGAGATGCAAACCAACTTCAAGCCTAAGCCCTCGAGCGCGGCAACAAGCCTGTACGCCACCAGCTCCAACAAGTCCCAGGCTCTTTTTCGCCATTTGTTTTTAGGTCCTGTCTCTCTCTCACTCTCTCTCTCTCTCTCTCTTTCGCTCTTTTCCTCTTTTTGCTTCCCTCCTACCCCTCCACCCAGGCCCTGCCCTTCCTCGCCCTCCCCTCCTCCTCCCTCCTCCTCCCTCCTTCCTCCCTTTTCCCTCCTCCCTTCTCCCTCTTCCCTCCTCCTCCCTCATTCCTCTTTCCTCCTTCCTCCCTCCCACCCTCTACCCTTCTCCTCCCTTCTCTTTCTCCCTCGCTTCCTCCCCCCTTCCTCCTCTTCTTCCCCTCTGGTCCCGCTCCCTGTCGGGGGGACGGGGCATCTGGCAGACGCAACCTCACTTGCAAGAGACACAGCCCCGGGGCGCAGGCGGATAAGTGCGAGGTCTCCGTGATGAACGTGGCGCTGGACTCCGACCTCGGCGCGATCTGGATCCTCGGCGCCCCGTTCTTCCGCAAGTACTACTCCATCTTCGTCCAGAGCCAGCACTCGCCCTCCGTGAGCTTTGCGGTGGCGTCGGGGGCTCAGAGAGCTGCCCCCCAGGACCCGCGGAGCGAGAGTCGGGACGCCTCGAGCGCGCCGCCTGCAGTGAGCGCGAGGGTGATCCGATCGATCTCATCGATCCGATTTGATGCCGATTTTGGCCAGTCCGTTCCGATTCGATTCCAACACTTTGTCGATTCGATGCGGCCCGATGGTTGCATGGCGCTGTTGTGCATCCTGGCGCAGCCGATCCGATTCGGTTCTGACTCTGTGCCGATGCAGCCCGATCCGACGAAGATTTCGACTCGCTCCGATTTTCCGATTGGATGCTGGCTGATCCTGCGCAGGGGCGCTGCCCCTCTGCGGGGGGGAGCGCGAGGGCGCGACCATCGGCGCGCATCGCGGGCTCGCGCGGAGCGCGAGGTCCTGTTGGCCGTGGATGCGGGAGAGGCACCTCCCGACGTCTTCGAGGTGCCGCGATGCGGCCGCGAGCGCCATGCGAGGCCGTTCCCGTCCTTGCCGCTGAGGTCGGACGAATGCAAGCCGATGTCCGCCACGGGCATGCTCCTGAAGCCCCCGAGGACCCTGCCCAGGCGCATCAACGCGTCGAGCGTCCGCATATCGCCATGGGTGAAGAGGTTCAACGCCATGGAGGTCAACCGCTCGAACGAGACGCGGAAGCTCCCGCATCGGAAGTGAGGCCTTGGGCGGTCCGGCCTGCGGCCTATGCCTGGCAACCGAGGGGTCGAGGGGATGCAGTGAGAGGTTAGTGGAAGGAGGTGGCTGCGTTCTTCTTTCTCACAGCCTCTGTCTTGCAGCCTTGCGGGATATCTGCCCTTGAATCCGAAGGAATTCGAAGGAGGAGGGGATGGGGAGGGAGAGAGAGACAGGGAGAGAGGGAAGGAGGGAGGGAGGGATGGGAGGGAGGGAGGAGGGAGAGGAGGAGGAGGATCAGGAGGAGGAGAATGGGTTCCAGTGCCAGTCAAACATGGTGTGGACCCGCGCCGTGCTGGAGAGCTTGCTATTCGGTCTTCGTAAATCCCTGGTGGGTTGGGGGTACCCGCAGTCAGAGGTGAAAGTGGACACGACCGTATACAAGCTTACAGTTGCAAAAGAAACAGTTGTCACAGTGAACGTCTTCAACAGCACTCTTCCGATAAAATGGGATGGTTTGTGGGCCACTTGAGGTGATCTAACAAAAAGCCCTGAAGTCCATCAGTTAACCACTCGTGCGAATGATGCATTGGGCCGGGCTGCGAAAGGTGGGGGAAAGTGTAAGAAAGATGTGAAGGGCTGGTCTCGGACGGCGCATCGGCGCATCGGCAGTGCGAGTGCAGCTTCGACCGACAGATGGGTAACTTTCTCATCTTGGCCGATCTCTTGCGGTAGGATTGCGTCTTGGAATGTCGAAGTCATCAGCCAGGACCGCCCGCACAAGCTGTACGAAATAATCAAACATATCAAACATCTGGACGTGCCAGTGTTGTGTATCCAAGAGACGCGCTGCCCTGACTCGCCGGTGTACGAATTCGAGGACTACCTTTTCATTCTCTCCGGGACAGAGGCACAATCCAGGGAATACGTCGGAGTGGGGTTTATCATTGCATTTTGGGCGAAACATCCGGCAAAAGGTAATCGCAACACAGTGAGAGAATGGCGAGCTTGCGGGTAGGAGTCGCTGGAGGCGTATGGACACTGGTTACAGCCTACGCTTTCACAATGGTGTGAGACTACGACGTGCGCCACGATTTATTTTCCGAGGTGGGCAAATTTACCAGGAGATGCCGCTCCCATGGCCCGAGCATGTTGTTGGGATATTTCAGCGCCAGATAGCTGCGACAATGTGCCGGGGGAGAAGCTGTGATCGGAAAGTCTGTTTTCGAGAACAACAGCGGCACCTGGGAGCCTTTATTAAACAGGGAACTCTTGGTATAACTATGTGCTTGTATGGAAGCGTGCGTCGCGAACACATTTTCCGACGTGGACCGGGGCGTGCGGCCACTGTGCACCATTAGCCCCAGCAGATTCGAGCAGATTGACCACGTGATCGTCGAAGCTGCTTGGGTACCCAACATGCGGAGCATTTGGAGCGACAAGTGCAGAGTCTTATCGTCACATGATTTCATTACTACTGTTGACACGGCAATCGACATCCTATTGCCGAGCGCCTTCATCGAGAACCAAACTTGGACCGGACAGCTGTCCAGGGAAAAGGGGTCGAACATAACTACATTTTTGGCTTCACCGAAGAATGGAATATTCAACCACGAAACGTATCCATTCACGGGAAAGCCAAGACAATCGCGGCGTGCATGTTGCGATCAGCCAGACGCAATATACCAGCTCTCGCCGCCACTCCGCACAGGCCATGGATCACGCAGCGGACCTTGCAGTTTACCGAGCAGAGGAACTGTTGTAGACAGCGCAATTGCGACAATGAGGAGTTCAGAAGATTGAACAAACGAATGCAAACCTCAGCGCGGGCGGACCGGAAGAAATTGCTGGATGATTCGATCGAACAAGGTGGTTGGGAAGCGATCCGCCTCCCGAATTAAAGCTGGTCTACGCAGCACGAACAGTTTGGAAATCTCAAGGGGGGACCGTGGGCGCAGAGTTCAAAGCCGAAACCATGGCTGACTACCTTGAGAAGGAGCAGTGGAAACTTGTTCAGTACACTCCCGACTTTCCACGCATGTAGAAAATTTGGTGAGTTTCTTAGGGACAAACATCATCACATTGGAAAACTACGTCGCGCAGTCAAATTTCTCAAAAGGCAAAGAGCAGCTGGGAATGGCGGCGTGCCGCCAGATTCGTGGCAAGTGCGATGGCGAAGTGATGGAGCATTGGGTATTCCTCGTGGGCTTATGCAATACGCGTTGGTAACAGAATTACATGCCAGAAGCATAGCGTGAATCATCTATCGCAACGATGTTCAAAAAAGGGGACACGTCGCTGCCGAGCAATTCGAGTCACATTTCTTTGCTTGATGTTGGGTGCAAAGAACTGGTTTGTAGCGGTTGAAACAGGGCGGGCGGGGAAATCTTTGAGAGAGTCGGAGTGTGCATTTCGTTCCAGACGAGGGACGAGTGACGAGTGACGCTTTTGTCTTGGCACGCCGCCTCACAAAAAAAAAGAGTCTTGCTGTCGTTGCGATTTGACCGGGGTGAAGCATGCGACATAAACAAACCAGAAAGCTTGATATTCGCCCTCCGCCACCTCCGCGCCCCCGCAGCGACGATCGACATGGTGCAGGCGATCTCCAGGACCACGAAGTTCATCTGTAAAGGCGGGCGCGCAACCGCTGCCGCTGGAATCCAGGCTGCGGGCATAGCGCGAGGATGCCCACCGCTGCCATATTCATCCATCGTCGTCATGTCAGTGCTCCTGGAGGGAATCGACAAACTATTTGACACTTTTGCTTGCGGCAATGGTTAAAACATGTATGGGGGGGGGGGGGGGGGGGTACGAATTATGGGTTATATGCAGACGAAGCAACGCTCGCGGCCACAAGCCCGACAGCTCTGCAACTTCATCTGGGTGCGATTGCTCAAGTGGGGCTGGCATTTGGTTTGATACTTACAGCGGCGACTACAATGCTCCTGAGATTCCGATCGGGAGCCAACGTTGCAGGTCCTTTTGGCGAATCGATCGCATGCAAGGACCGCGCGGCATGCCTTGGGGCTACTGAGCACCGACGGGGATCCCCGAATTAGGTAATGCGACGGCTCGGGGAATCACGAGGGGCATTCGAATGCGTGTGCGCCGTCTGGGATTGCCGGCATGATCAAACGTCGCAAGCCTAAAGTGTTGGACGTTTGCATTTTCTCAAAGCTATTGCGTGGCCTGGAAAGTTGCATGCTAGTGGAAGCAGACAGACGGGCTCGACAGTTTTCAAGCGAGGTGCCTCCGACGTATACGCAAAAAGTCCGCTGGCGTATTTGCTCGGATATGGAATGCGGCGGCGAGAGCAACGGCGGGCGCCGCGTGGTTGTCCGTGCTCCTATTGCGACGCCAACTACAGCTCTATGGTAAGCTCGCATCAGCTGGCCTGGGCGGCCTTCCAATGAACGTGGTCTCTGACGGGAATAGCAGACGACGCGCTGCCTCGAGATTGGGCCAGCGCTCGCGCCAGAGGCCGCCCGCGCCTGCAACGGGCAAGGCACGCGCGTTCGAGAACTTTTGGAGGCGGCGGGTAACGACCCAGATCGCCGGCAATCACTATTGCGCGGAGCCCCGCGTGATCGGCATAAGGCCATGGAGCAGTGCTGCCAACAGTCCCTCTATCTCCTTCTTCATCATCCTCTTTTTCCTCGGCTTCATGTTTCCTTTCGGCCAGTCCGCGCGCGTGCGCCGGGGTCTGGCGCCGGGCCAGGCAGCGGCGAACAGCCCTGCGCATGCGGGTGCCCGCGGGCGTGGCGAGCCCCTGGAGCTTGCCCCGAGATGGCCCAATGGGCGACTGCGCGGTCCCCGCTGCCACATTCCGGGTGCCTGGGTTGCAGAAGGCGGCGCATCTTGTGCTGCGCCGCGTCATTGCGCCGCCAGCCCGCAACGCCTGAGCTGGGGCAGGTTTTGCCGAGCCCCGCGGGTTTACGTGGCGGTCGCGCGCTGGCAGCACCGTTTGCAATGCACATGCGCGTCTCCAACCTCGGCCTCCGAGCGCAGGGTCAGTTCGCGCCGCTCGATGTCGCGCGCGTGAACAGATCGGGTCACGCGCTGGGAGCTCCAGGGCGCCTCTCCTGGTCGGCGGTCTCTCCGGTCGAGGGTGCTGGATGGGGTCGCTTTCGACGTCGAACATCGCTCGCGCTGCCGCTGCGGCGGGCCGACCTGGAGAAACTCGTGGGCAATCGTGCAGGCTGGGGCCTTGCAGGGGGCGGCCCCGTACATTTCCGCTGACCTCGAGGCCCCGGCTCGCGCGTGGGAAGCAGCGTGCAGAGATTTATGTGCGCTGCCAAGTCGGTCTTCCAGGAAGACGAGGGTGGGGCCATGTGCATCGCGCATCTCACAGGCTACCTCTGCCGCCTGGTCGGCCTGGCCGTTTGACCGGACTCGCCAGTCGGACGGAGTCTCGAGCCCCCTTGGGACTTCGACGTGGGCCAACTGCCTGAGGAGCTTCCGAGACGCCCCATCCTGCCGAGCATCGCCCTTCCAAACGCTGGCAAACCAGCATCTCTGGGCCGCGCCTGCGACGGCTCCGAGACGGCCTGCGGGGGGCACGGCATTGCAGTCGCTTATATGACTACGCGAGCCATCGCTGAAGCGAGCTCCACGCTCGTGCGCCGCGTGCTCGGCAGCTGCGGCCGTCTGGGCAGGCGCGGGGGGAGGGCCCTCCGCGGCGCGCGGAAGTTTGCCCGTGGCCTGATGCCGCGGCGCCGCCCCGAATCTCCCTCCCGGCGAAACGATTCGAGAGGCGAGGTCGAAGCCAGTCCATCTCCAGCCGCGGGCTTGCTCGAGACAAATTTGACAGAAACCTGAAATCGGGGCTTCCCCATCCCCGCGGAAGGCGCGAAGGGTCGACGAAGGGGGCGCTTCGGACTGCGGCCTCAGCGGCAGCGGCAGGCCCTTCAGTCTTGCATCGCCGCAGGAGTGGCGCGCCGCGAGCGCCTCGCCCCGGCGGTCGCCCTGCTCCAAGGGCCTGGCGCAGAAACGCGGGACATCCAGGGCGCGATGTGCTGGGGCGTCGGGCGCTCGACGCAGCGGCT